CTAATCTGGATTCCAGATCTCACTGCACATTCCAGGGACAAGTTGAAAAGTAGGCACGCAAGATAATCTTGTCTAAGCCCTTCGTGGGTGCAGAAAGACTCTGAGATCATACTCTTAGTCGTTATCGTTATTTTCGTTGATTGTTTAAAAACTATTTGATCGTACTTTCGTTAAAGTAGTCATGGAAAAGTTCATACCAATGAAATTATGCCAAGTAGTTTTTGTTGCTTGGAAAACAATTAATAGTACCATTTAATAACTTTATTTTAATAAATTTGAATCCGATAATAGCAGCAGACAATCAGGAACCTTTGCCTCAGCTATTAAGTCCTCTAAGTATGCTAAATACACAAGTCACACCAGATATTTGTGGATTTATATTTTAATTTGTTAGTTCTTAGTTATTTGGCAATAATTACTTCCAATTGCCAACAATTGAATATATTTCTTGTATTATCAACGTTACATGTTAACAAGTTTACGTTGCTCTAGATGTTATATGCATAGATTTTTATAACATGAACTAGAAACTGACGATGGAGCACATTATTATTATTTTTAAGGTAATTAAAAATTTATTGTAACAACAAAATTCTGACATGTAACATGCACTATATTTTAACTCAACAAAAAATTATTTAACCTTGCATCCACAAGATTATTGGGATTGTGGTTCTGAAGATGGGAGCAAATATACCGAAACGTAAACCTGTTAACATGTAACGTTGATAATACAAGAAATATATTCAATTGTTGCTAATTGGAAGTTATTATTGCCAAATAACTAAGAATATTAGACAACTTCCCAGAAAAAAGAATAATTTATTAGTGATTAATTTTTGTAGAGGTGATAAAATTCAGTGACTAAAGTACAGTGTTCCTATGGTTCTCTGTTAATATATTAGGTTACTTCTTCTTTAGATCACAGGCGGATCTACGGGGAGAGAGGCTTTCGGGCTGAAGCCCCTCCCCCCTCCAAAATGGAAAAATATAATCATATTTTATAGAAAAAAATATTAAAAACTATCTCTTAAAGTATTATTGTTCGTGTAATTATATTTAATAAAACTTCAAGAACCACTTAAACACTATTTCATATAGGTAGTTAATTTCTTTCCCTTTTTTTTTAATTAGTTATCGTTATATATATGAAATAAAAAACTTCCGGGCTGAAGCCCCCCCCAAAACTAAATCCTGGATCCGCTAGTACTTTAGATAATTATCGAGTCCTTTTATTTTCCATATTTAACCATTTTTTATATCAGGTTACATTGTCAAATGATTAATTATTTCAAATTAAAAAAAAGAAGATACTTTAGAGGAAGAAATTTTGAAAATTAGACATTTAAGCCCTGTTAGAGAACATTAATGAGAATAAAACCTACTTTATATTAAAATAAAACAAAAAAAAAACGTTTAGTTATACATGCAATGAATTAAATAAAAATCGTTAGAACCATTTTCTGGAATAATGTCTAAAATCGATGATATAAATTGGCACTTCTGGTCAGCCAATTTAAACGAAAAAGTTTATGTAACACCCCAGCCACGAAATTTAAAGGCCGGTCCACACGCTCCGTTTTGTACAATGTTTTGTCTGCGCAGTTCAAAACGTTGCAGATAAAACGTTGCGTGTGGACTGGAAAACAGTGCAGTTTTGAATCCATTTGGAAGATGGTACAGTCTTAGTAAAACTGAGCCAGACAGCTCAGATTTCCTCGAACTGCGCAGGCAAGTCGGCGCATGTGGACGGTAGCACCGTTTTCCGATCCGTTTTGCTACTCAGTTTCAATCCGTCGGGCGACAATGGCTGACCTTCGGCAATGTTCTAGGGAGTTTTTAACTGATTTTATTGCTCTGTATGAAAGTTTCCATTCGCAAGTAGTTCCGCCAATCATTAGGTTCATCACGTAATTCACGCAATAATTTGATATGGGAAAAGTGCTGCCTTTTTAGAAGCCACTTCCGCGACCACTTTGAACGCCGGGTACTTCTGAGATGTTCCAATCTTTTTTTTCTAACAATACACATCGCGAAAATCGACCAGAGTAGTACCACCTCCATGGCGATCTCACACAAAACTGAGCAAAATATACGGATATGTCTGTGCCGTGTGGACGCTCTGCAAATTGCAACGTTTTCGTTCCGTCTTAAGACTGCGCAGACAAAACGTTGTGCAAAGCGGAGCGTGTGGACCGGCCTTAAGTTTCGTACGACTTTTCGTTTTTGAACTGGACTGTTCATACACACACAGACCATTTTGCGGGATTTGATTACTTGGACTCAGAGAACTTCAATAGTATTAGTGTTAAGAATTGTAGAAAGTGATTAAATAACAATAAAAGACAATTTATGATACTTTTATTTTGTTTTAAAAATAGTCTATACTTTAATACACGAGCGGATCTACGGGGGGAGAGGGAGGTTTTGGGGCTGAAGCCCTCCCCAAAATGGTAAAATATAACCATGTTTTATGGAAAAAAATTATCTCTGAAAGTATTATTGTTCGTGTAATTACATTTAAAAGGACTTTAGGAATCACTTAAACCCAATTTTATACAGGTGGTTAGTTTCTTTACTTTTTTCCAAAGTAATGATCGTTATTTTTATGAAAACAAAAGCTTTCTGACTGAAGCCCCCCAAAATTAAATCCTGACTTCGCTAGTGCTTTAATAGCATATTATTTTATTTTATTTATTGTAATAATTTTTTTAAACATTTGTGAATGCGTATATAAGTTTATATATATATACATATATTTTCAAATCTATTCTGATTAGATCAATTCAAATAATCTTAACATATTCATAATTATAATTTTAAGTTTAATAAAATTAAACATTTATGTATACATCATTTCGATTTAGCAAATATCAACTATTTACCATTATTCAAACATTTTTTAAGAGATTTATTTAATAAACCCCTTACTATCCAAAACTTTATTTTAATTTTTGCATACTTTTTTTGTTTTATTTTGAAAAACACCTAAAGTAACAAATAAATTAATATTTATTTAATAAATAAGAGTATTCATTCATAAGATTGTGTGAAAATATTTCCATTCACTTCTGTAAATTCAAGCGTATTCACTTTTAAAGTGTCGAATACGGCCGTATTTATATATACAGCTGTGAATAAATATCATCTGTATTCATATTTCTTTTTATGAACATAAATATATTCATATTTATATTCAAAAGTGCCATAAATATAAATGGTATTCGCATTTATATTTTTGAATATAAATATGCCCATCTCTGCTCAATACATGCATTTCCGTTGAAAACTCGATTCGAGGTTCGAAAATTTTTACGATCGCAATACTTTCACTTACTATATATTTTATATATATAGGTAAGTGAAAGTAAAAAATGCATTTTCGGTACACATTTATTTCAAGGTCAATTTCCAGCATTTAGGGCTACACTGCCCAAGAATAGGTGCCAAAGATGTATACAAGGTTTTTATTTTGTTTTTCCTAAACCTCCGACATTACTTTAAAATATGTCAAAATCTCACTAGATAATATTGTATATACAATCGGAATGAAATTGTAATACAACCTCAAATTCAAATTAGTAGAATATATATATATACATATTCCCTCTTACTGTGGGAGAGCAATTAGGGCTTTCGGAAATTAGGAGAAAGGGAGGGGGGTCTTCATGCGCCCCCCCTAATTATTACTAATCAACACCTTTTTGGTTCTAATAGTATGTTTGTATTAATAATTAACTATTAAACATAGAAATGTTGGTACAAAAACTTTGTGTTTATATTTTCTTAATAATTCATGCCTGTAAATAATTAAATCATTTGGTAAGGAATTTCAAATCTGTAACTGGCTATAGCCAAGAACAGTTTTCGTGATTTTCTAACCTGAAAAGTTTGTAAAAAAAAAAACATTGTGTTTTTTGAGTAAATAAAACTGAAGAGAAAAACTGAAAATCACTACATTATGAACACGATCATTTAATGCCCATTACCATGATCTGCGTAAGAGGTGAAAAAAATGAACAGGTACTTTATTTACGTTTTTCTTTCATAAGTCATACTGTTATTATAATTCTTATTAAAGTTATAGGATGGTTTTAAAACATGTTATTGTACTGATAAATGGCATTATTTGTTATTGTTATCAACAAATGCAACTTGCGAATTAAATACATTTCTTCATAATAATAAAATAAACTTCCCTTTAAAAATGGCCTATCTTAATGTTGTATGTGCTTAAACATAATAATAATCAGTTTATTACAACAAACAATATAAAGTGTAATTACTGGAATTAATTCCTAAAGTACAAAATAATTCAACTAGTGTTAATTAAAATAATATAGAAAATCTTATTTTGTTTAGGAACAAATAAAATTGTATTATTTTATTTTTTTATAAAATAATAAAATAGTTTTTGATTTTTATGTTTATGGGGATACAAAAACTGCTAGATTCGTAAGAACGTTAATATTTACAATTATTAATGGTAGCTAGTTGTGCAAGTCCCATTTTAGTTTAAATGTCTAGTTTTAGCCACACATACTTATGAAGATTCAGTATATACATGAAATTAAAAATTTCTTTAACTATAATTTTTAATAATTCCTTTGAGGAGAATCATTCATATAATTGATTTTAAAAATAGTTTTTGCACATGAATAAGTCGTTACAATAACACAACAAAACATATGATTTCATAGAACACGTATTCCTATTCAATGACATTAAAAATTTATAATTTCTAAACATTTGTATCATTTTGAAATGACTGGCAAAGTAGAGGGCACAATGGCAGAGGAATGTCATCATATTTCTTTCCAACAATGGTAAGTTTCCACGATTGTATTACCAGCCCCGACCAGGCCATTATTAAGTCAAATATCTATTTCTATACTCTAAAAACACATACACTTATAAGAACAAATTTCAAATTCAAAGGAAACACCAACTATTTTAATGCAAGTCGTCCATTTAGCAGTAGATTTGTGGATACATGTACCTATTGAGGCAGCACTGACCTCAAATTATTCTTCATTTTGGAAATTAAAAAAGTTCAGCTGGGTCATTGCCTTTAATATCAATTTAAATTCATTATTACACATTAACCAAAAAATACTTGTATAGTGTAATAAATCATATATAACTTCTGTACGAATATATCTCCATAGCAAGCTTGCGCATTAAATTGTGCGCATCATCAAAACATATCTGGAAGCCATTTTGTTTATTTTCGAGGGTAGGCAGATACTTCGGAAATTCATGGTCTTACAAATTGACAGTCCGTAGATATATATATTAATTTTGATATATATGGTTGCGTTGTTTCCCCTGGCAACAGGGGGTGAAGAAATCTGCAGACATTGGGCGCAATTCAAGTAAACCCGTCAAACATACCGTGTCGGGTAAAAACTACCATTCAACTGAACGTGTGACTTTAAAGAAATCAAAACTTGAATATCAGCCGGCACCCATTGGAAATATGAATCATATCAGATTTCAAACTGTGCATTTAATGAAAGAAGATGGAATGGAGGATATGGACACACAAGAAGGTCAGTTGATTCTATTAAGCAAAGTTAAGTAAAAAAAATAACATTTTATTGTAAGAGTACTGATACATGCGCACCTTATTATAAAATTTATTTACCGTTTCATTGTTTTGAACAGTTTGCAAAACTAGTTCATAAGAATTTACAGACATTATGAGATTAAGTATATTGAATTAAACCTCTGAAGTTCCTTGATCATTAGGGTCTTCTTCAAAATTGATATGAATTTTCATCAAGTTCGTACTATTACGCTATTTTTGAGGAATAAATGTTGCAATATTCTTTTTATTTATTTTTAAATATAAAATCTTTACTAGAGTTTGATATTAACTTGGTTGAAATGTGGCTCTTTATGAAGATTTGGAAACATTGCAATTACTAGTTATTTTTATCTTTTAAGAGTTATTTAGTGACAAGCTATTGATATTGAGTCCATGATGGTTAGTTTGCTTTCAGTTGAGCTCATTTACTTGTGTCCAGAACTTGACATCTCTCTGTATCTGTAATATTAATGTACTTTTATCATCTATTCATTTTTAAAATGCAGATTTTTAAGTATTATATGTTTTGTGATTCATTAAGTTTGACAGAAAAATCTATTCTGAGATTTTGGTTCAATGACCTACACTTCTAAGATAAACTAAAAAATATTATAATTAATTAATTATTTTACACGAACTGTGCTTAATGATGTAGTATCTTTCAATTTGTGACCTGATTACTGTTTATTTTGTCACCATATAGTTAAGTTAGCCTGTACAGGTTAGCAAGTAGAAGACACATTCCTTCAGCTTTAACCAAGTATTTTCCATTGTAAACTTAATTATTCAGTTATTATCATTTCAAATTGGATATCTTTTTAAATTATAACGTGTTTAGTGTTATTTTGTATTGCTAATAAAGTATGACTTAATTAATATTAGTTAAACTAGACATAAAGTATCATAAATCTTATGAAGTGTTAGTTTTAATGTTTCAATCGAATAGTTAAACAATTATTGACATATATCAAGCTTGATTATGTATATAGGTTTTAATAAATAGTTAAATGCTTTTATTCGGAGCGATTTATTTTTTATTACAGTTATCTCGCTAATTATGTTCAATAGTATTTATTATCATGTAATTTAAGTTTAAATTAATGATTTTTTCAGATACTTGGCCTATAAAGGATCATTATTAAAATGTGTTTCTTTTCTTACATTTGTCTTTAAACCTATTCATAGATTTATTGTCTATTTTCATGTTTAAATTATACCTGTATATCTCATATACAATTTTTTCAATTTCTTTTATTTAAGAAATCTTATAACCTAGGTGTTTATTCGTAACATAACTATTTCTATGATTAATGATCAGACATACATTACCTATTATTTTAAATCTTGCAAATGTTTTCCCATTATCATTATATTTGTTAATCATCTGTATTAACATTCGATATGAGTTGCTTAAATAGTTTTAAAATTTAATAAATCTAATGCTGATGAATACTGTTACAACCTTTTCTGAAGTGTTGTTATTTCTGCAAATATTTGCTTATTAAGAATCATCTATGGTAATTTGATATTTTCTAATTGTGAATGGGTTATTTTTTTTTACAGTACAAGACAATATATTTAAATAAATTTTATCTCTAAACTTTATTTATACATAAAAGAGAAATCATTGTATTTAATTCGACATGTGACTGCAATGGGTTAATCATTAACAAATTAAAATTAACGGATGTTAATTCCTAATTTGAATATTTTTTTATTTTGATGTATAATATCAAGGGGCTTTATATTTTTGTTGGCTAAATTTAACAATGTCCCTTTATTCAATTAGATATTTAGTTGCATGTTTAATAAATCCTCGTTAATTCTTTTTAATGACTGATTTAAACTTTTTGATTCTTTCCTATGGGCTTACTTTTTTCTATTTTTTCCTAGTTTTGTGCTGAACATAAAGAAATATTGGTTGGTTCTTAAGTTATTTATTTCAAGTTTCAGCACATTTTTTTTCCTATTTCAATTGATAAAAATAATATTGCTTTAATTAACTCGTAGAAGCTTGCTTAAGTCACTGCATTCCTAGATATATTGTATGTTTGTGGTAGTCCCGGATTATTGATGAAAAAATTAATCAGATATTTTGAAGTTACCTAAGTAGTTGTTATATGTTTACTCATTAACATATCCACTGTCTTGATTTTTTAAAGATGCCAATAGGATTTCTAGTTTAGTTTATTTTTGTATTTTGTTTGCTTGTTAAAAAAATTTCCTTGGAATATGGTTTTTAAACATTTGCAGACAGTATTGCCCCCCCATCCCTTGAAAAATTCATGACCAAATTGCGTTAGTTGATACCAGTTATATAAAATATCACAAACCTATAATAAAATAAATAATATTTTATTTTACAGGATCGTAATACTGTTTCAAGCTTAGGCTCATCAAATTACCAGGGTGAGACAGTTTATTTGTTTTGGGGTATCCTCAAAAATTGCTCGACAAAAAGTATATTGTAATACTGAATCGTAGTGATGACACCTAGTGAAATACAACCTATAGTGAATTTTCTCCAGAGGCCGATGCAAACAATCCTGTGAACCTCTTAAGGTTAGATGATTTAATCCATTGCATAAGACACTTGCAAATTGTGCTATAACTCAAGTTTGGGTATTATTTTGGAAAAATTTAATTCTACAATGCAAATAAATCATTTTAAAAATGAATTTCTCCCCATAATAAGGATAAATATACGATTTCCCCATTGCAAAGAATAAAACTGAATTCCAATGTTTTACATCTGCATGATTTATTCTTCTCATCGAAATATATATTTGTGATATATACCTCCTTTTAACCTAATAATAAAATTCTATCCAAAGGGATCCATTAATAATAACCCATTAATATTTTTTTCATGATTAATATTTTCTTATTTGACCTGTAATGTAGTACTTCATTCGCATTAAATTGATGAAATTTTTACACAGTGGCATGTAATTTAGATATTAGATATAATCAATGCACTTCACATAATCGTATTTTGAAGAGTTTACAGTTTACGTTCTTCTGTTGTAATTTTTGTAAAAACCTTAACTTACAAATATTTTATCTTAATATTTATTACTTTAGTTTATACTTTATAATGGGAAGTGATTTTTTACACATTCCTTCATAAATTTTATTGCTTTGTCCTTTACACAATATTGTTTATTATTCCTTAATTGGTATAGAATTGGTGGATCCACGGGGTTGGGGTGGTGGACGTAGTGGGCTTTCCCCTAAAGAAAAATATTTTAAGTTTACAAATAATTTTATCTTTATATTTTTATTGACAAAATAAGATTCACTTCATAATGAATAAGTAGTTAGGTTTAATTAAGTTAGTTTTTAAACTCATTCTTTCTAAATAGAAACACTGAAGAATGCTGTATTTCTCGAAGAAACAAATTAATGTTTCCAATAATGATTGTCGAGTGATTATGTTCTCAAGGTTTACTGAAACATTTTCTGTGGTTTGATTTTATATAGTTTTATGTATGGTTTAGATTTTTTTAGCTGTAATATAGCATAGTTCGAATTATTCTATGCATTTTAATTTCCCTCCTTTGTAATGCGAAATTAAAAGCTAAAACTGGGTTGCGATCGACCTGGAAAAATAGGAAATGATTTTAGTAAATAAATATCTTTTTCAAATTGGAAATAAATATACAGTGGATATCGTTTATAATGACATTAAAAAGGTAAACTTCATCGTTATAAGCATTATAAACATTCGTCACTATATTCATCCATCTATGACTGTCAATAATGGCACTGGTCGTTATATTGAAATAAAACAAGAGTGCTGAATACAATTTAAGCAAAATAGACTTAAATTAATGCTTTTTTAAAAAGAAAAACAGGTACTTCTTGACTAGCAGGCCGGCTTGAAACCTCACTTCTTATCTAACATCACGTCACGTAACCTCCCTCTTCTTATCCCGCCAAACCTTTGAGTTATTGCATTGTTTAGTTTTCAGTTATTCCCTTATTACGTTCACTTATTAAATTCTTTACTTTTGGCCCGTTTGTGTTTATTTTTTATTAATTTTAGTTTTTGGCCTGTTCTTGTTTATTTTTCATTTTTTTTTTTTCTGTTTATTTTCGTCATATTGTGAATCTTCTTAGAATATGGGATTTGCCGTCTTCAGAAGAACAGGCAATTCAATATTTTCAAAATGTTGGGATTCTTGCAGACGTGAAATTGTGTGAATGAGGTCATCAAATGAAGTTAACCAGAAACGCCAAATGGAGATGCTGTCTTGTGACTTGTGACATAAAACTTTCAATAAGGAAAGGAACATGGTTGGAGGGCTCGAGGATTTCGTTTTTAACAGCTTTAAAATTGATTTATGGGTGGTCCCATATTATTATATATATTTTATGTGGTCCCATATATTTTATTACATTTGTTTTTGTATCTGTTTACACTTTCAATAATACAAATATAATACAATAATAGGAAGTAGGAGAAGGCTTATCACTGCGTTATCGGAATTATCAGTGTTGAGGTTATAAACATTGGCAGATAGCAGTCAGTGCCGGCCTGCTAGTCAAGAAGTACCGAAAAACATATCGAAACTATTTGATATTTGTAATATATAGATCTGAGTCAAGATCCGGCTGGTATGCACTCATTTCTTCAACCCGTGGTCCTCCTAAAAAGAGCATTTATTAACCATAAATGTCACAGTGTGTGTCATATGGATAATTATGCTGTTTATAGTAATAAAGAAACTAGACTACTTATGAGAAACTACATTAATATTATACTTAACCCATTGCACATTCTATTTTATAATAGAGAAAATCACAGCTTTATACGTCAAGTATCAACTTTTATCTCATCTCACTTTATAAAAATGATGTAAAAGCTATAAAAATAAATTACAAAGAGTTTAGTTTTGTAAAATAAAAATTCTAATCAAGCTTAAAAATGCTTCTTATAAAACATTATTATATATTTGT